AATCAGTCGTCTGATGAAAATTTGAATATAAGACAGTACTCGTTCACTAGTATGATGTTCTGATTGAATGCTTGAGTTATTCGCAGCAGATGTATCAGCAGACATAATTTGTTTTTTATAAATAATAATTTTCTTCTATCTTCGAAGAATATATCTCACATATATATATATAGTATTTAGTATAATAGATATGCTTCATAGAAAAATACTGCGATCGATAGATAAAACTTACATTGGAAAGAAAAAAGGAAGTAAACGTGACTCAATTAGTTGATAGAAAGTCAAATACATTGACTAGTCATCAGTAATTTTGTATATGTATCAAGTTTCGAATGAAACTTATTCTAAGAAAAAGGCGTCTTTGTCAACTGTCCTGTTTTTTTTTCTCTTTTCCTTTCTTTAGTTCCAGTCCTATGTTATTGCGCATGCATTTTCTCTTGAAAATAGTGAGACGATACGACTTACTTATATATTTTTTTGATTTTACAATTAATAATCATGTTTCAGGATAGAAGTATGCACATAACGAAAAAAATATTGTGTCTACTCCATTTCATTACACGGACACGGTTTTCATGGAAAAAAACATCTCGATAATGTTTTATTTCGTTAATGAAAGTCAGTGAAGTGTAAATTATTAGATCATATCTCTCGTTTTCTTTTTTATGACAAGAATCCTTGTTTTTTCGAATGATTTTGTTTATTTCTAAATGTCAATTACTATTTTATCTGTAAAATAATCAATAATTATTTTTCTGATTAGAAAAATATATTCTTGATATTATACAATATCACAGCAAACAAACGATTAAATAGCATTTGCCAACCGTCAACAGAAATACGTTCACCCATGAAAGTTATTAAATCAAATATTATTGATGATATTAAAACAGAATATGAGACATTATCTATTAATTCTAGTAAAAATAAAATTGATATTAATCCGAGAACAATTATTTCAGTGAATGATCAATTATTATTAACAAATTTTAAAGAAAAATCTGTTAGTACGGTCCTAGGAAGAACGAAAGTGTGGAACTCACGAACTCTAAATTTTTTAGATTTATAGTATATTGTCAGAGAAGTTAAAATGACTTATTTAAAAGAATGCCAAATGATTGAATAAATTAAAATTATAACAATTTTTATAGTTGATGGACACGCATTGAAATTTTATCATTTCGAAAATGTTTACATTTAGAATTGCTATTCTACTAATTTATTTAATTCGTTTCAAATTGTTACACTGAAAAAACTTATTTGTATTGTCAGCCACATCTTCAATACATAATTGTCTTTCTCCTCATAATAATATATATGATACATGTTGTTGAAAGCAGTAAATATCATTGTATTCTTCGTTTCGTTCGTTCAACTACCATATTAGCCTGCTGTACGCATTGATTTAATCGTTTAGTAATTTTCTGAGCACACCATTATTTCTCTTAACGAACTTTGATATGTACTTTTGAGTTTTGTCTAAACTTAGAAATCAATTAGTTCATAGTCTTCTATGTCCGTCCTATTTTGACTCTGCTCGATCAATAATATTATCGCCTAACTGATTGACACCTATAATGACATCCTTTTAGTGCATTAAATGTCAAAACCCGCAATATTTAGATTAGTTAAAATATAAAATAGAAATCTTAGATTAATAGAATGTCTTCGAAGATTCTAGAAAGTTCCAGAATGATCTAAGCACTGTTATTACTGCTAGACCTTCTCTTGCTACTAGAAAAACGCAGCAAACGATCGTTGACCTCTCCCCGCTTGTTGCTATGGAAACATATTCAATAATTTTTGGCTTTTTTCATCCCACGATTGCTAGAGCCTGAGACAGATGGAGATGTAGAAACCAAAAAAAGCCTTCGATTTTAATCTCTGTTCATTATAGTGTCGAAGAAAATATATGTGAATTCCACAAAATATCTAATAGAGATTATTTAAAAACGTTAAATAAAGATATTGGAACAATTCTGGAAGAAAAAATTCATCTTATTTTACAAATGAATTATATCTCACTATCATCATTATTTACATTAAATTCACAATGAATATTTGATTTTATTCTTAAACATTTTCAAACTTTAATCAATCATATAAATTCTTCATAATTATTTAAAAAATTTTTAAATAAAAATAATTCAACAATGGCGTTTAACATCGCCAATTAAAAACATTTGTTAATGTAGATTCAAAAAAAAACAATAACAATTGACTGGTTCACAAAAACATCGACCGGCTGTTTGAAGCATTGTCTTTAATTAAACGGGCTTGTATCTGTTGTATTTCTGTTTCATATGCGTCGTTAAAATCAAATACACATTATTATATAGGTATGAAGAATATTTTTATCATTCTTCTAATGCATCATTATAAAGAAAGTAATCAAAGATCTACTTTATTTGCTTACGAGACTTGTATTAAAAAATCTCTGTAAATTAAGTGTTAATTGAGTAATGATATAATTGCCCTTGTACTCTTCTCTGAAACTTTTTAATTCTCATTGTTACAAAAAGATAAACAACAAAGATCTAAGTAATTATTTTTCGATGTAAAATATT